GTGATGCATAAGAGTGTGCAAATTGTAGAGGAATTAATTTAATATGTCAAATATTATGGGAGAGTAATCAAAAAAAGGTTATGACGTAAAAGTAATATTTTTCAAAATCAATTTAAATTTATGTAGAGTAGATCTACTGTGGGAGCTTTATATTTATTGAGAGGCTTAATGAAGAAATATAGAGTGTAAGGAGAATCTACGATGATATTTATTAATTTAGAGAAAACATATAATAAAGTTCCAAAAGAAGTACTCTGGAGAGTTAAAGAAATGAAATAAGTTGATAATACTTATATTCAAATCATTAAGGATATATACATAAGTTATTACTTGTGTTCAAACACAAGATGATTTAACCGAGTATTTTCCTATTTTAGTTGGATTACATCAAGGATCAACATTAAGCCAAAATCTTTTTGTTTTAGTCATAGATGTTCTTCCTAGATATTTGCAAGAGGATGCACCTGGGTGTTTGCATGCAATTCTTCTTGTTGATAAGATAGAGAGGCAGTTGAAGAAAAACTTAAATTATAGATGTTAACCTTAGAGTCTAAATGTTTTTGTTTGAGTAGAACTAAAATTCAATATATGAAATGCAATTTTAGTAGTAATAGAATTGGTGGTATGATTATCATATTGGGTGACCGCGTCATTAAAAAGAGTAAACGTTTGAGATAACTCGGGTCTATTGTTTAGAGCAATGCTGAAATAGATGGGAATTGATCGCAATATTCAAGTTAAACGATTGAAGTGGAGGAATACTTCAGGCTAGTTATGTGATAGAAAAGTACCCCCTCAAACTTAAAGGAAATTTTTATAAGATAGTGGTGAGACCTGTAATGCTTTATGGCGCAGAATGTTAGCTATTAAAAGAGAAGCATAAAATTAAGTTAAGTGTTGCAGGTACATGTTGGAGAAATTTTGTTGTCCTCGAACGGTTTGAATATTTTAAAGGGTTTTGTCCTTTAGGAATTTCAAGGAAGAGGGAGGATCAACTTGAAATCAGATTTTAGAATGAGAGGAAAAGGAGGTAAAGTAGGAGCACTTGATTCTGAGAAATCTAAGAGGTGCTCGGACTATCCTATATTGAACTTTACATTTCATAATCTAATTTTTATTTGAGTTGACATTTTGATTAGAATGTTGGGGCTTACATTCCAACAACACATGTTGGAGGAATTGCTTGGAAGATAAGAACCTGTATGGTGATTAGAATCAACCATTGTCTCGATCCCTATAACTAAGGTGAGGACTACTAAAAGGTAGTATCTCAAACCTAAGTTTAACGGAGTGCAAAGGGACTTACAAACTACACCTCACATGAGGCATAGCCAATCCAACTTCTGGATTTATTGCCCTACCTAAAAACAGTTACAAGCTAAACCCACCTAATCGTTTTTAAAATCATGATTTCCAATCTCAATGCACATGAAGAGTAGAGAGACTGTTTTTATTTAGAAAGTAGGGCTTACAACTTGACTTTTAGGCCAAGATGTCTGACCATGAGTGGTATGTAGAATGTTGACTCACAAATGTAGATTTTTTGTTACCTGATCCTAAATGAAGGCTGTTTTATATGAGACTCACTGGGCTATGCATAATCATTTTCATTTTTGGAGCCATGCAATTTTCTTTTTATTTGAAGATCATGAAGCCTAAATTGATTTTAGGATGTTTACATTTTTAACAGGTAGAAATCTTAATTTTATCACCGTATCAAAAGTTCATGCCACACCCTCAAGCAAAATAAGAGAAAAAACTTATGAAAAAGCATGCTCTTATTATGCACCAAGTAAACAATCAATAGATGCTTGAGAATGTAAATTAACTAGCGCAAAAATATAATAATGTCCCAGTTATAACAATAAAATTTGTCAGCTGAGTTGTCTGTCATATACAACCAGTCAAATTTTATTACAGACTCTACTTGTGGGGGGGGGGGGGTCTTCAAGCTTTTGATTTCTAAGTGGACATTGGACTTTACCTTCAATAGATACATCCTCTAGATCCACTTCCCTTAATGGATGTTCCAGCGACTACGAGAGGCGGAGCTCCTAGAAAGCTCGACGGGTGACCTAGACGAGGTCGGTTGGGACGTCCGCACGAATGGAAAGGTCCGGATGGAATTGCCAGGCGTGGACAGCCTGGGAGGTTGTATGTGAACTAGGGATTCCGCTCTCTACCTCTTTCTCTCGCCCTGTCTTGAGAGAACACACGCAGAAAGGATTAAATCCAATGGGAATATATCTTCTCTTCCTCATGTTATCTCCACTTTCTCCATGCGTCGAAATGAGACCATCCCTACTCAAGTGAATCTACTGCAAGATAGAGATTTCTTTGCGGTAGGATAAGGGATTTCTACGATCTCCTTGTTACAACTGCCCGCCGAAATGAAGATCTAACGGGATAACAGCGGCAAAATTTAAGAAAATGGAGAAATCTGGGCCATTGGATGCAGAGACTGATTTTAAAAGTCAATTTAGCTAAAATTGAGCTCGAATTGGATTCGACCCGAACTGATTTGGGTCAATTTGGGTCCAATCAAGCTAATTTTACAAAATCAAACTTTAATCAGCGTAGAATTTGGTTCAACAAGGCCTGATTGAGTTCGATTTTAACCGATTTAGGGTCAGTTCGATCGATTTAGGTCAATTTCAATTAATTTAATTTAAGTTTGAAGAAATTGAATTTAATTTTATTAAGTTGAAGTCCAATTTGAGTTAAATTTTACTCGACAGTGCTCCATCAAGTTGATCGAGCGCGATCGAGCCTAGTCGGGTTCGAATCGGCTCAATCGAGGCTGGGTAGACACAAAATTACGTCAACAGTATAGTGCATGAGTGGCTTTCACTTAGAGACAATGCAAAATGAGTATATACATGAAAAGGTTGGACTAGCTCCAATGATAAATAAGATTAGAGAGCACCGCTTTAAATGATTTGGTCACATAAAATATCCGTCTTGCAATGACCCGATTAGGAGAGTAAATGTATTAGAGCTGACCTATGTAAAGAAAGGTAGAGATATACCTAAAAAAAGTTGATAGAAATTATTAAAAATGACTTTTTTTCTATGATGCACTAACACTTCTCCTCAAAGAGGTATTCATTATTTGAGATATATCCGACACGACACGCATCCGACACTCTTTCAACACGTGTCGGACACACCTAAAATGTGTTTGATTAAAAAAATATTAAATACAAATTAGACACTCAAGTCCGACACGCGTGTCTTAAATATTTTATGAATTTTTTAAATATAGTTTCTTGTATTTAAATTTGTATTTATTTAAAATATAAAAACTAAATTTCTTATATCATATCCACAATTAATATTTTATTCATTGAATATTCTCATTTTCATTTTTTTTTTTGTGGTTGAGACTTTGGTTTCACAACAATACTCGATGTTATCTCAACATCGACGTCTAACATCGTTACAGCATCGACATTTCAAACTATATCAACATTAAAGAAGGACATTGTTTTGAAATTGATGCAAAATGCTTGCAATTTCTACACCCACAACTTGACAGCTCGTCTTTGTCCAACGTTTTCTTAACATTGACAACCAGTGCCCTCTCAACTTCGATGACAGACACCCTCTCAACATTGACATGTGATGCTTACTGCATAACTTCGATGTCTGACTCTCAACAATATTATCATCTTCTCTCTCATTGCCTGATATAAGGCATCAACGTCCAACTCTCAACATCCTAATATTAATCATTTTAATCACAGATTCTAGTTAAATGATTTATTATTTCTAAATTATTTTTAATATTATACTTATTCAATTTTTATACAATATTTTTAAAATATAAAAGTTATAATGTCGTGTCCAACCCATTTCTAAGTCCTATATTTTTAATATATTATGTGTCATGTATCCGTGTCGTGTTGTATCCATGCTGCCATGTCCGTATATGTGCATCATAGTTTTTTTTATTAGATTTAAATGAAAATTTGACTTTTAAGAAGAGAATGAAAAAAAGGATTCAAGTAGTCGATCCCACGTAGTGCGATAAAAGGCTTGTAGTTGTTGTTGTAGATTTGGTGGTTAGAATACAAAAGCATCAAATCATTATGATGTGATATAAGAATATCATGAAAACTTAATCTATAAATATAAATGAGTATGTATCTTTTAAATTTCAAACTAGGTTAAAAAAGAGAAGTCTCTCAGTATAATCATGCAACAAAGAATATAACGAAAACTCATTGAATGGATCCGAGTTTTATGAAATAAAAAATCATTAAAAACCAAATTAAGCTAAAAAATCATTAATAACTAAATTAAGCATGCAGAAGTAAGAATATTAAGATTGATGTGCCCCAAAACTAGAATATATTGAAGAATGGTTCTATCAAAGAGACAATGAGATTGGGATCTATAGAAGATAACGCGGAGAAAAATAGATTAAAATGGTTGGACACTCAAATATAGCAAACAAATTATACCCTATATCACAAGTACATAAAAATTGTGACTAAGTGTTAATAAATTTAAAGCTTAGACTAAAAGTAACATGGATATAAATTGTATGAAAATTTTACTCACAATAAGCTTAAAATCTCATGAAGCACTAGTAGGAATGAATTGAAGGTAATATGAACAAAGTAAAATAATAAGATTTTCCCACAATGGGTTTAAAATCCTATGCAACAACAAACAGGAATGAATGGATAATAATAATCCATAAAGCCGGCACAAATAATTGTCATAAGACCATTCAAAGGATGACCTTTGAATGGCCAAAAGAAAATTTCAAGCAAGACATGTAATTTATAGTCAACTCAATATGGGCAAAATTCCTCATTTGATCCCTATAGCACAAACTGTTTTGTGATGAATTGCACCTATCATCAAAACCCACTCAGATAAATGTGGCACATTGAAGGTGAAATTCATAGATGCTTGCAATTGTTTTCAGTTCATTGTTAGAGCCATATTCCTTGTAATGAATTAAACTTAAAAACAGAAGGATAGTTTACCTGCATTAGGCAAAGACCTCCAGCACGACAAAGATCAATGCCTTCACAATCAAAGCCAACAACCAGCTGACTGTCGGCTGAAGGGTTCAGAAATTCTGAAGGAAGTTGTGAAGCATGCGTAACAATGTGGACTGGAACTGTAGCATCTTCTGAAGTTCCATTTGCAAGAAATCCACAATATTAGGTAATGACGACTCAGAATAAGCTATGAACAGGCCCAGAAAACATTTTATGGAAATTTTTTTTTTTTAATGGAAAATTATAATACAGAGTGAAGGAATAGTAGATCATTTGCTTGCCAAAAACCAAGTTTGAAAAAAAAAATAATAATCTAATAAAAGAAACTGAAAATCTCTAAATTGTACATTTCATTCTCAAGACACTTAAGGAGTCTGAAACACGATTGAACTACAGCCAATTGAGCTCTAGAAATGGAATAAATTTATCAGCATTGGCCAGTAACTGATTATCAATCATCCAGCAAAACAAGAAAAAGGAATGAGAAGCAATTGGACAAGAAAGCACACAGAAACAACAAAACATTCCCATACAAATTATTTACAACACACTAGGCAGCCTAAGGAGCAATGTTCTTGAGATCTAGAAGTGTACGATAGGGATGTAAGCTGAACAATACACTTAGTAAAAAGCTCTAACAACTGGGTTAAAGCAGGTTGATGCTTCTTTACCTAGCTAAACAAACAAGCTTGTAATAGGTTGTCGAGCATGCACTTCATTTGAAGCAGAATAAATAAACTAGATAATGTTAGGAGTACAATAAAGGCAATTAAAAATAATTACTAGAGAAAAAAAGAAAATATAACAGCACAGAGAAAGATACAAAGCATTCTAGATTGTCTATCATGAAGCCTAGTGAATAAAGGTGAGCGCCGATATATTTTCTTCTAATTTTTGCCCCTTCTAGTATAAAGAGCATAGAATCTTTTATCCATGAGAAAGTCAATACTCTGATGCTCCAATCAAAATTAGAAACCTGCTGAGATTAATATTCGTCATTGTGTTCAAGGGTAAGATACAATTGACATATTTGTTGAGCTCCATGAGTCTCGCGACTAATTTGACCAAGCATGACGAGAATGACGAGCAATTGACACAACGTCATGTGATATAGTATGAAACAAGTCATTTATCGAGCCGAGCCCGAACTTGCTCGCGAATCAGCTTTGACTCACTTACACCCCTAAGTGCAATTACTCTAAAAAGTCTATCATCATTTTGAAATTTGCAAACTCCTCTTAAAAAAAATAAATTTATCCACATGCACTCTGACAAACATGTTAAACGACTGAAAGGTTCAAAAATTATGAGGGAAGACTAAAAATATTAGTTTAGTGTAAGGTTGAGAATATTGCGCAGACTACAAGAAATTAGAATTCACCCTGCTCCTAAAATTAGGCAACACCTTTTGAAAATGAGCAATTATTTTGAAAAGTTCATAAACTCACTTTTAAATATAACTTAAAGCTCTAGTCTTTTATGATGCTTCGCAAGCAAGTCTCCTTACCTACAAAGCATGATCGAAGGTCTCACATTTCAAGTCTAATCCTCCTCGTAAAGGTCGGAGATGACAATACTTTAATCCCAATGATAGCCATGTTGATAAAAAATTTCAATCGGAGGGAAATATGATTTTTTAAAATGCCCCCAAATTCCTAAGCTAAGTGTTTAGGGCTTGAAATTTTGATAAAAAATTTAAATCCAATATTTGTAAAAATTCTAACACTATTGTTGCCAGGTCTCAAGTCTAGATGAGAAAAATTTAGGGTTATATAAGGTAGTCGACAGCTAACAAAAAACTTATCGAATAATCATGACATGAATCATTTAATGCATTGTGTTAATGCTAGGGTGTTTCCTAGAAGCGACACGGTGTATGGCATGAATACAACGATGAGTGTGCAAAGGCCGCTGAACCGGTGCCCAAGTGCAGTGTTAAATAGGCAAGGGTTCCCACATCATGGATGGATGAGGGCAAAAAGCTATTTCATGAAATTAAAATTATGATAGGAACCTGGAATATAGGTTCTCTTACAGACAAATTAATTGAATTAATAGATATTATGATTCATAGGAATATACATATTTTATGCATTCAGGAAACTAAATGAATTGGAGAGAAGGCTAAGGAGATTGATAGTTTAGGATTTAAGCTATAGAATTCTGATTGGAGTCGTACTAGAAATGGTATAGGTGCGATTATATAAGAATTTGAAAGATAATATTGTAAAAATTAATAGAATTATAACTTTAAAGATTGTTATTGATACTAAGATTACAAGTAGGTTTAGATATGTGTTTAAAATTAAAATTTTGGAAAGGCTTAGAAGAATTAATATAAAAAATACCTCTTGAAGAAAGAGTTTTTATTTTAGGAGATTTAAATTGACATGTTGGTAAAAAGGAAGATTTTAAAAGCATTCATGATGGCTATAGGTTTGGAGCAACTAATGAAGATAATAAGACCATATTAAATTTTTCTTTAGCTTATGATTTCGTACTTGCTAGTACCTTATTTAATAAAAGATATGAGCATCTCATCACTTATAAGAGTGGATATAATAAAACTCATATTAATTATTTTTTATAAGAAAAAGAAATCATTTAGATTACAAAGATTGTAAAGTTATTCCGATTGAAAATTTATGTACCCAACATCTCTTATTAATTTTGGACTTTAAGATGAAGGGACAAAAAATAAAGTATTATTTTAGGATTAGATGGGGGCATTTAAAGAATATTCACAAAAATACTTTTAAAAGTAAGATTCTAGATTTTAAGATTTTGTTTGAGCATAAGGAAGCTAATGCTAAGTGGAAAAAAGTAGCTAATGATATTGAGAACGTTGTAAAAGACGTGCTTGGAGTATCAAAGAAAAAAAGCTCCTTATGGTGAAAATAGTTGGCAGTGGAATCGAAATATGCAATAAAAGATAAAAAAAAGAATAATTATTATAAAAATTAATTTAGATGTAAAAATTATGAAAATTGAGAAATATATAAAAAGGCTCGTAAGGAGTCTAAGAAAGCATATACAATGAAAATATTTTTGCTTTTAATAATTTATATAATAGATTAGATACTAAGGAGGACGATATATATATATATATATATATATATATAAGTTAGCCAAACAAAGAGATAGTTGTAATATTTAGTTCAAGTGAAGTGTATTAAGGATGTAGATAAAAAAGTGCATGTTTTTATTATAAGAGAATATTCAACAAAGATGGGTGAGATATTTTAATGAATATTGTAAGAATGCGATTGACTTTAGTGACCTTAGCATCCTAAATGAAAATAAAGATTTTCATTTTTATCGGCGTATTAATAAAACTGAGGTTAGAGAGGATTTAAAGAAAACGGAGTGCAGAAAAATTATTGGATCAGATGATATTCCAATAGACATGTGGAAATGCTTAGGAGATGAAAGAATTTCTTGGTTTACTAAATTTTTAATATTATTTTGAAGACTAAAAAGATGATGGATGAGAAGTGAATGATTGTATTGATTTCTATTTTTAAAAATAAAGATGATGCACAAAATTGTGTGAATTCTAGAGGAATTAAATTAATGTGTCATACTTTAAAACTATGGGAGAGTTATGGAGCATAGGTTGTGGCATGATACTAATGTTTCTCAAAATCAATTTGGATTTATGTCGGGTAGGTCTACTATAGAAGTTGTACATTTATTGAGAGGTTTGATGGAGAGGTATAGAGAGAATAATGAGCATCTACATATGATATTTACTGATTTAGAGAAAGCATATGATAAAGTTCCAAGAGAAGTACTACGGAGAATTCTCGAAAAACAAAGGTTCATAATGTTTATATTTAAGTCATTAAGGATATGTATGCAAGAGATGTTACTTGTGTTCAAACACAAGGTGGTTTGACTAAGTATTTTTCCTATTTCAATTGGATTACATCAAGGATCGGCCTTAAACCCATATATTTTTTATTTAATCATAGATGTTCTCACGAGACATTTGCAAGAGGTTGTACCCTGGTGTATGCTTTTCGTTGATGAAATTCTTCTTATTGATAAGACTAGAGAGAGTTGAAGGTAAACTTGAATTATGGAGGTCAACTTTAGAGTCTAAAGGCTTGTGTTAGAGTAGAGCTAAACCTAAATATATGGTGTATAATTTTAGTAACAATAGATCTAGTGGGGGGATTGTGACTTTGAGAGATCAAGTCATTAATAAGAGTACAAGTTTTAGATTTCTTGGGTCTATTGTTCAAAGTGATGGAGAAATAGATGGGGATATTATTAGTAGAATTTAAATAGGATGGTTAAAGTGGAGGAATGCATCGGGCTTGTTGTGTGATAGAAAAGTCCCCCTCAAATTTAAGGGAAAATTCTATAAGATGGTGGTGAGATCAGTAATGTTTTATGGTGCAGAATGTTATCCATTAAAAGAGAATCATGATATTAAGTTAATTGTTGCAGAGATGAGGATGCTCAGGTGGATGAGTAGCTTTACTCTTGAAAATAGGATACGAAATGAGCATATATGTGAACAGGTTAGAGTAGCTCCAGTGGAAGATAAGATTAGAGAGAGTCAACTTAGATGGTTTGGTCACATAAAACAACAACGTCCTTCCGATGACTCGGTTAGGAAAGTAAATGTATTAGATTTGACTTATGTTAAGAAAGATAGAGGTAGACTTCAAAAGACTTGGTTAAAAAATATTAAAAATGACCTTTCTTTATTAGATTTAAATGAGAATTTGACTCTTAACTAGACACAATAGAGAAAAAGAATTTATTTAGCTAACACCATATAGTTGGATAAAAGCTTGATGTTGTTGTTGTTGTATTTGTAAAAATTCAAAATATTTAAAGTGAAATTAATCCCATAAACTTAAAATAAAATCCATCCACCCCTCACAAGCATTTGTCAAGGGTGATAAATTGGAAATAACATCAGCTCACAAAGATCTAATATCATGTCAAGCATATCACTATAATTCATTTTCAAATGATCCCTCACTAATAAAAACAAGGCACATGTCATCTAACCGAGGGGTGTCAATATTTGACACGACTCAATAACCCGACTCGAACCTAACATGGAAATTTCGGGTTCGGGTTAGAGTTTTCGACCCATTTAAAAATGTCGGGT